AAAAAAAAAAATCCCAGTCCCCCGAAAACACCTGATCCGTGGCCCCAACCTCGCTATCCCGGGCGGGAGTCCGAAGCTTTGCAACTGAGGCGCAACTGATCCGCGACGCCATCTATTGCCCGCGGATCAGTTCGGATCAGTTGCAATTCCGTCCTGATACGACAGTTGTCTTGCAAGATCATGTAACAAATCCCAGTAGCCCGGAAACAACTGATCCGAGGCCTCAACCTCGCTAGCCCCGGTGGGATTCCGGAGTTTTGCAACTGAGGCGCAACTGATCCGCGGCACAACTTTTTGCCCGCGGATCAGTTTGGATCAGTTGCAGTTCCACCCTGAAAGCAGGTTGTCTCGCAGAATCATGCAAAAAAAACCTGTAGCCAGAAAACAACATGAGAGACAAACTACACGTGAAGATTTTCATCCATACCCGACCACTCTTCCTCGCCACCAGCTCCACTTTGACTTTGGCGGCCGGAGGAACCCTATACCCTGCTCATGTGTTACAATCTCAAACGTTACAATAGAATATGAAAATCTGTGATGCAAGAACTGCATGGTCTAGCCTACTCCCACAGGAATGCGCGTGGTGACAAGTTCCGGAATTGCCCAAACCGTAATGAGAATTCGGCTCAATTTGTATTGCAGAAAGTGGAACGCTGTTTGAGTCTGTCACGCTCATCATGCAAGACAAAATCCAGACTCTATTGTGACGTTTGAGATTGTAACGTTTGCGCAGGTCATAAACCCATCTGGTGCGAGCTTTTCCCCGTCTTCACGTTGGTGACGCGCTTGTTCTATCCCACAGAAAAAAGCCGGCAGGTCACATTTGTGACGCAAAAATAAATAGACGAAGAAATCTGTATTGCATGCCCTAAACAGCATGCCACGGCCTCGCCCATGACAGATCTTTCTGTCTATTTATATTTGCATTACAAATGTGGCCTGCCGGCTTTTTTCTCTGGGATATGTTCTCGGGCACCGGATACTCATCTCCCGGCGGCGCATATGCACTGCAAATATGTCTCGGGCTGGCAGGTTTGAACTTGTAATGCTGGTCTTACATTCCTGTGAAATCTGTATTGCATATACCAACAAAAGCGGCACCCTCTTTCGTCGCGCAACAACGCAGTTTCGCATGCGGGCTGCGTATGAGTAAGCACTTTGGAAATCTGTCATGCTTGGCTGCATTCGGAACTGTTTCCATTATCCACATTTCAGCATCACAGGTTTCATCCAGACCCAGACATATTGGCATTTGATAGCGCACCCGCACTCGCCACCCCGCGCACCGGACCAGCCGGTTTCCGGTTCATCAGAAACTTGCGGACCACCAAGGCGATGCAGTATGCGCTGCAAAAGTTGCATCGCACTTGTACTAATTGCAAATATGCATGACAAATCTTCTTCCAAAGGTAAAGCAGCATCACAAATTGCGTTTGTCATGCTGAGTTAACTTGTAATGCAATTTATACTAAGTAGTACGCTGCTTCTGCAAGGCATATGCAGACGATCACACCGATGATGACCGAGCCGATGATGCACCCCTCGATGGACAGGGTGTCGCAGTTGTCAAGTGCAAATATGTCTGGGTCTGGAACAAGGTTGGAACTTGTCATGCTCAATCTGAATCATGCAAAAATCTGCGTTGCATGATTACCAATTGCTGCCCACTTGTGATCAAGTTCGTATCGTTTTGACCTTTGACTCCTGTCAGGGTGGCGCTAGAACAGATTTAGCCTCTGCCAATACCGTGGCGCTAGAACAGATTTAGCCTCTGCCAATACCCCTAGGTGGACACCCGTTCCACGTCCTACAGGTACCACCCGACCGCATCCGCCGAACCGTTTCCGATTTCTTACGCGTGCGTGCGGCCAGTGGGCGCTAGATGTGGCTGACATGCTTTACCATCCAAGCCCGCGAGCAAGGTGGGGCTCCAGCGTTGCCTTGTTGGGTTATTCTTACAAACGTTGAACGCTACCGCTTCTGTGGTCGGTTGCGCGCTAGATATACAGGGGGCCGATTGGTCACACACGTTGACCCTATCGCGATGACGGACAGCCCCAAAGAATGCCGGCAAGCACTTTGCCGACCTATTTCCGCGCACCCTTTGCATGCGCATAGGTAGAGTCGGACTTTGAAGCTCCGCGTTAGCAGAGCCGCCACCGCGCCCGCCCCGGGGGGCCCCTTGGGGAAGGGGGGCGCTGCCTTAGCGCAGTCTTTAATTTAGCAACCCTGTTCCCACTCTCTAGTAAAAAACGCGCTGACGGCGACAGGATAGCAGCGCCGTGCCTACCGGCTGGCGAGGACGAGACGACGAGCAGCGCCGTGCCTTTCAGCTGGCGGGAACGGGGCCCTTTGATCAAGTTGAGAGGCAGTTTCTCATGCAGGATAGGCATGGTAGTGATCTCACGGAATCTGTCATGCTAGGTCCTCCATTACAGATCATATGGGTCATGGAAAAGCTGCATGACAAGTCGAGCAAAGTTCCAGACCCAGACATATTTGCATTTGATAGCAGTCGGTTGCCGCGAGCTTGCTCTTCACCTGCCGGAGGTTTGTCTTCACCGTGGTGGTCATGGTCGGTGTGGTTTGCGGGTTGCTGTCCACATGGTTCTCGGCATCCTCTGATTCTGTAGTTTTTTTTTTAGTGGATTTATGTATTGTTGTAGATGTACTTCCTTCTACGCATGGAAATTCAAATTTCATTCATTCTCTGATGCAAAACCAGCATGACAGATTCCAATGATCAACGAACTCCTGCTGATCTCGGGAACCGTTATGCATGGTTATCACATGCAGACGATGCTGGCGATGCATTACAAACCTGAAATATTACCCTCCCATTCTGGTGGATTCGCGACGTCGCCGGTCTCCGCTATCACGCGGAAAAACAAGGCTGCTCCCCCTTGCTTGCATTTGCAACGCATAGATAAGTACTTACTTACATGCGCAAGCGAAAAAACAAAATTTTGCATGCGTGTGGCAAATCTTGTTTAGATTTCTGATTGACCGGTAGGATTTCAAGTTGCCACCTGCTGTAAGTAGCTTCTTGTCAAGTTCGTGTGCCAGAAGTAGTTGTAGCAAAGGCCGCTACGACCGTTCAGCCGGCCGCATGGCAAATGACAATAAGAGGGAGCAGTGAAGGACACGCAGGATATCTGGTGGGGCTGTTGGGTGTATGAAACAGAAAACTCAAAGATTTCTTTGTGATGCACAGTGCTGCGTTAGCGATTGGAGTATCGAAAAAGTTGTATCGAGGATGTCAAAAAAGTTTCGGAAGACCACAAAGGAGAAGGGAAATACCACCCTGCTTCTGGGCGGCCCCCGGACAGAAGCCAAACAGGGCGGGAATGCACCCCCGGACAAGCGAAATCTGTCTCCCTGTCCGGGGGTCGTTTTCGGCAAAAAGGCTGCCAAAATTCTGCTTCGTTGAAAGGCAGCCTCGTGCGGATTGCAGCTAATCCGCAAGACAAATATTTCGCTGCACAACAAAAACGCAAGGAAACAAAACTGACCCCCGGACAACCCCCGGACAGAAGCCAAACAGGGTGGGAGTCCACCCCCGCACAAGCGACGTCCGTCTCCCTGTCCGGGGGTCGTTTCCGGCAAAAAAGCTGCCGATATTCTGTTTTGTCGAAAGGCAGTCCCGTGCGGATTGCAGCTGATCCGCAAGACAAATGTCTTTTTGCACGACAAAA